TCCGTTCCCGCCTGCGCTCTCTTTATTCCAAGCCTGCGGATTTGGATGCCTGGGTAAGCTCTCTTTTTTTTTTTTTGGTCTGGATCTTGCTTATTCCAAGTGTCATGTTGTTACTGCGTGTGTACAGATTGTTATTGCTCAGCACAGATGCAGGATTTTATTTTCTGTCATTACATTTTAAAAGGTGTTCAGCTAGAAAATTGCATATTATTTCCTCCATAAAGATTTTCACTGGTTCCTTTTGTGTAGCTTACAGCTGCTGAAACCAAACTTGATCTGGTGATGTGTGGTGTTGGCTGGGAGAGCAGCACGAACAGGAGGAAATGAAGGTTACACCAGGACTGCTTTTTAAGGCCAGGAGTCTGCATCTGGGTTCTAAAACAAAACAAACCCCAGTCGTCTGCCTTCAGCAGAATGAGAGAAAGGACAGAAAGTTCCTCTGCAGGTTTCTTGTAGGCCTCCTTGTAACAGTCTTCCAGTGCCTAAAGGGGTTACAAGAGACCTGGAGAGGGGCTTTTGACAAGAGCATGTAGAGACAGGACAAAGGGAATGGCTTTAAATTGACAGAGGGGAGATTGAGATGAGCTCTGAGGAGCTTGTCTGGTACAAGCTCCCTGTAAAGCTCTGCTGTTGAGTCTCAGGCACGATGTGCACAAGCTGCCATCGCTGTTCCAGTGTTGTCCTTTCAGCTCTGCTGTTCCCTTTAGGCTTGGTCAGGAGCACGCCAGCCAGCTAATTTTGGAGCTAGTTCTGTTCTGTAGTGAATTGCTGTCAGTTCCTTCCTCTAGTCTTGGAGCCTTTAATAGCATTTATTTTCTCCCCTGCCACCTGGACTGCTACCAGGACTGGAAGAGACACGGGAAAGCATGAGATAGGAGAATTTGCAGTTGTGAAGTGTGGCGAGCTGAGGTACCCAGCCAAAACATCTCTGCTGGGCTGCTGCAGGGATGTGACTGCTACCTCGGGGGGAAGCTGATAACTCCACTCAGCAAAGAGAGGAGGATGTAGAAACAAGGCATTTGATAGAGGCTTAAGGACCTTTCCTTTATCCTTGTGGCTTATTTCCCTGGATTGCCTCCGCCTGAGTCTCTAGGCGACATCTCACTAGTTCATCTGTGACTGGTGAATGTGTTTTGCCAAGAAGATAAATATTTTTGCACTAATTTGCCAAGTGCTGTGACTTGCCTTTGAGGAACTTCTGTAGAGATCAAGGTATGGACCTTCCCTTCTAGCTCCACTTGCCCTTTGCAGGGAGGGGTGATATTTTGTCCTCCCGCCAGTGCGTTCTCCTCAGTGCCCCCTCCCCAAATCCCAGAATCCCAGCAGTATTGCAGGGAGAGACAGCCTGATGGTAGCCATCAGCTGTGGGCTGTGCTGTTGCTGCACTTTATTTCTGGGTGCCACATTCCCTACTGTTATCTGACCCTGCCAAGAAGCCCTTTTTTTCCCCCCAAGCAGATTTCCTTCCTGGTTTTCCTGTGTAACAAGGTGATGGGAAGGGGCTGTGCTTAAAAATAATAAAGATCTGGTGCTATTTCATGGGGGGCAAAGCCAAAGCTGGGCTGTGAATGGCTGTAGCTTGAGCGCAGCCCAATGCGAGGAGCTCAGTTACACTCTGATGTGTTGCGTGTTGGTGTCAACTCAGGACGTGGCCGAGGGTCTGGTTTTGTTCATCAGAATGAACCAATAATATTGCATTACCTCAAGGAAGAGGCTGGTAAAAGATTCCTTTGGGCTGCCTGTCAGCTCACAGGCCAGTGCTGGAATTCCTCAGTTGGGGCAGGATGTAATGCACAGCTTCAGAAATGTGCTTTCACAGTTTGCTTCTAAATGGGTTACTTGACAAAGGGGCGAGGAGGAGGCAAAGAATCGCACATGACTCTGCCCCAGCTCTTTGTCACCATTCAAAGCAGCTCTGAGATAACCAGGAAAAGTTGGGGCTGTGGAAAAAGTGTAAAGATAAAACAGGAAGATTTTGAAACAGCCCCCAACCAGCCCATGTGCCTGTGGAAGCTGTAGTAGCGTGCTGGTAGTAGTGTACCTTCACTGTCGTCTGGTAGGAACGCAGTGCTGTAACTTCCGACACCACCACAGGGAATCTTGAGCATTTTCTTGGATGTATCTTATGCCTATTTTTTGTACAGAGAACAAATGTCTCTGCTGGCCCTAAATTGAAAAAAGGTAGATTGAGATGAGCTCCGAGGCAGAAGCTCTTCCCTGGGAGGGTGCTGAGGCGCTGGCACAGGGTGCCCAGAGAAGCTGTGGCTGCCCCATCCCTGGCAGTGTTCAAGGGCAGGTTGGACACAGGGGCTTGGAGCAACCTGCTCTAGTGGAAGGTGTCCCTGCCCGTGGCAGGGGTTGGAGCTGGAGGAGCTTTAAGGTCCCTTCAACCCAAACCAGTCTGGGATTCTGTGATGATTCTGTGATTCTTCTGCGCGTCCCTGCTGTCCTATGCTACTTTTCCAAGTTTTGGTTGCAATTTGTGTGTTCCACAGCAAAGTACATTCCTCCTCCCTTCCCTCTCATTTGTTTCTGTCTTCATTTCATGGACTTTCGCACACTCTGTGTTCTACACTCCAGTTTTAGATGTCATCTCTTGCATGACATGTGCAAGCTCGGATGTAGCTTCTGCAGCATGGATGCGAAATGCAGCTGGTTTCCAGTCCAGTGTGTTATCATGCATGTCTTCCCTTCTCCTTCCTCCTTCAGTTCTAAAGGCCTTTATGTGAGAAGTGTATCTGATGCTTTGTTTGGCACCTGCAGTCTCAATTCCCTCTGAAATTGTAATCATCTCCGTAGCTGGCAGCTCTGTCTGGGACATCACAGGCCTCTGACTTCAGGTAGGGAATAAGCAGCAGGACCAGAGGAACTCTTAATAAATATCCTGTATTCATACGCACACACTTCTTGCACGTCCCTTGTTGCCTAACCCAGTTTGGAACAGTGAATATTTCAAATGACAAACGCTCTGACTGTACCATTCACACTTCAAACATCATCAGAGAGTGTACTAAAGTTTCTAGTAATAACAGCTGGGAATAGAGGGAGGCAGAAAGTTACTTTCAAGCAGATCTGTCACAAATAGAATGTTTCTCAGTAGATTTCAATGCACTGAAACATCAGTTCTTACAAACAAGCAAGGCATGGAAAATACGTTTAAGTGGCGAGTAAAAGTTTTCTCTGCAACCTCTGGCTCATCATACAGCTTATGGGTGGTAAGTGGGACATAATGGGAGGTAATATGGAGCAGTTACTTAGAGGGATGAATGAGGAGTATATGAGGTTGTGGTCTGCTGCTGAGAGATCCAGTTTTGGTTCTTTGCCATCACTTTTTCAAGGCCCAAGGGAAGTCACCAGCAGAATGTGTCTGCTGCAGGGTGCGCTGCTGTGGAGGCATCATTCACTGCAGGCATCCCAGCTCCTCACCATGCACAGCAGCACACCTTGTGTGTCCTGCTTGAGAGGTTGTGTTTGGTTTGTGGTCCCTTCCAGAGGTGTCACAGGGAGAAACGTGCTGAATTTCCTGGTGAATGAGGTCAGGCAAGCTCAGAGGTTGACGAGGTGAGTGGGGGTGTGGGTACATGGATCCGTGTCTTGACAGAAACAGAACAAAGTCTCTTGCCCACCAGAATTGTGACACATGTGGGTTTTGTGCTCCCAGACCAGTCTGCTACCCCAGGAGAACAGCACTGCCACGTCAGTCGTTTATTTACATTAATCAGGATCTTCCTTGTGTTTTTAAGGGTTCATTTTTTGACTTTCTCTTTTCCCTTGTATTACACTTCACACAAAAAGCATCTCCTGAATTGTGCAGAGGGGTCAGTGCTGTGTCTCTCTTGTTTCTTTTCCTTGTGTGTTTTTCTCCTTAAGGAAGTACAAGTCACATGTATAGTAATGTGAGTGTATGGGTGTAATGCAGGAGAACCAGGGTGCTGTGGGCATCCAGCAGCCCACCCTGACGCCTCCCATCTGTTCCATTTCACTTGAACTTGCTTAGTCCTTGTCTGTATAGAAGATGGGTGTTGGTTCAGGACAGCTGTGGTTCTCTCAGCAGAAAATGGTAATACTTCTGGCAACTCAAGTGCCCATCAGTGCCCCTGTTGTTGCTGTGGTGCCTCTTTGGTCAGGTTACATGTATGGGGCAGCTCATTCTCATCCCTCTCCCTATCCCATTTCAGCTGGTTTGCAGGCTGAAAGATACAGCTCTGATTAGGCTAAAGGCAGAGATTTTGCCTATAATCAGGTGCCTTTGACAGCAGGAGGGTTTAGGTATGAGTCTATAGTGCTTGTGCCTTATCTGGCCCTGCTGCCTGGGATGGCAAACATGGGAACCAAACCACTTCTTTTTCCTTTAAAAACAAACAAACAGACACCACCACAAGCCCTTTATATCACATACTCCTTTTCTTGCTTATTTATCCGCCATCCCCCACTGCCTAGCTTAAAATCTCTGCTAAGCCCTATTATACCACTGTATTTCCATCAGCAGGGGAGCAGAAGGAAGGCAAAGCACAGCAACTTGCTTTCAGATGTAATTTTTCTCATTAACAATGGCTTTTGGCCATAAAATGACAGGTCTGAGCCCACGGGGATGTTTCTGTCCCAGCTGCTTAATGATACTGGACCAGCATTTTCTGTGGTTGTAGCATCATCATTAAAAGTGAAGAGCTATGCTGCTGGGATGCTGCAGATGAGCAGGGTTTGTGCTCCTGTTAAACGGGCTCGTTTGAAAGGTTTTCTGCCTGGTGCTAACGTATGTGGCCCCAGGAATTTTGGGGTGGGGGAAGAGAACCCAGTGCCATTCGTCTTGCTGTTGTTGCTTGTTATTTTTAAACTTCAGAAGTTTGGTTCAGTTCCATCTATGCCATGTTTTCTTAATGCTGCTTATGCTCAGGGGTGGGAATGGAAGGAAGTGCTGCTGGTTGTAAAGAGCTAAAAGGCAAAAGCTGTTGCTGTAACCACACAGACTTTGGTTTTTAATTGAGCACTGTGTAGCTGATGACTGGGTTATGCTTAAGCACGAACTTGTATCCCAACTTTGCTGGTTTGGAAGTGTCACACTTAGACTTTGGAAGAGGGAAGAAGAATTCTGTGACACCCATCTCCCCTCCAGATCTGCCGCACCCAGCCACAGGGACTCAGGGTGCTGGTGGGGTGGACAGAGAGTGTGTGGGGAGAGTCCTTGATTATCAGGACTCCTATCCATGTCTGAAAGCAAACTGAAGGTCACTGAGAATAGAATGTCTGTTTGTGACAAAGGTGTCACAGCATAGCCTTGTGTTTTGGATCTTCCTCATGATTGTAGGGATGTGCTGAATTTGTAATAGTTTCCTAACACTCCAAGGTGCAAGTGGTTATCAAGTGGAGGGTTTGAGGTTTATTTTTAAGGTAAGGTAAAGAACATTGAAGTGGAGTAATAAACATCATAATTCATGAAAAACGAAGACTTGGGTAAGGTGGAGTTCTGGGAAAGGCAATAGGAAGGTGTCACCTTTCTGTGATTATGAGTTTTCATTTAATAAGGAGAAATCAAGGTTATGAGTTTGATACCAGTAAGAACTTTTCAGGCTTGTGGGGATAATCCAAACTGAACTGCAGTACTGAAGATCTGTAGTTCCACCAGGAGGGATCCCATACACCAGTCCTGAGCAGTGATTGTGTTCGTTTCCAGTCTGCACCCCATGTGCTTTCCGTGCACTCACACTTGTTATTTCTTCTTCTAGTGATGCTCTGTGGTGGTTCTTCCAATGCTCTTCTGTTGTTATTCCCAGGAGGTGGAGCTGCAACGCTGGGAGGCCGAGATGAAGCAGAAAGAGGCCTTCTACAAGGAGCAGCTGGCCTGCATTGAGAGGAAGGTATGGTCAGCTTGTCTTTGATTTGTGCCCTCGGTGTTATAACAGCATCAGACACAGGTCGGTGTGTGTCCAAAGGGTAGAGAAACAAGCAGCCTTGTGCTGGAACCTGGAACAGTCACTCCCAGTATGTGTCGGCCCCCTACTCCTTGGTGCAGTGCTGAGAATGCTGCACAGAGCAAATCTGCTGAGCCACGTGTGTTTGAGAGAGGAGCTTTAGTTGTGATTTAAAAAAGAAGATTTCTCTTAGTTGTAACTTTATTTTCCTTTTCACCATGGGGTTGAGGTGAAAGCTAATTTGAAAAACAACCCCAAGTATAGTGGTTCTGGGTTTTATTCCTTTTGTTGAAAATCCTTTCCTGAACAACAGTGAACCCCCCACAAATTTTGCTATAAATATGAATTAAAGTTGTATTATTAATTTTCCCCTGGGGAGCCCAACAGTTCACAGAGTGCTGCTGCAGTGCTCTGCCTGCTTCTCGCTGGATAAGCCTTTCAAATGAACCTCAGTTAAAGAGACACTGTCAAGCATCTTTTAAGCCTGCAGTGACCTTTGAAAATCCATTTAGGGATTTGACTATCTCCCCAAAACGTGGGATTTGCTTCTCTGTTTAATTGTTTACCATGATGAGGTTTTAAAAATTGATGCCATAAAAATAGGAGCAGGCGCGCTGCTCCTCACGAGTTAATGTGTTTTTCCCTTCCTGGCAACGTGGAGTAATGGTATAAGTAGTCTTTATTTTTTAATAAATGTGGAGAATTATCTTCTCTGATTTGAAGCAATTAGACCTCCTGACAGGGGGGTGCAAACATCCACCTTGGAGTTGTGGTTGGTGGCTAAAGAGGAATGCAAACAATGGAGAAGGTGGGATGCAGAGAGAGAAATCAATCAGCTTTACTACCAGTGTGTAGCTCGATAGTGAATAGGGAAGATGGGAAAATGGCAGATTATAGAAGTGGTAGGAAACTATTGGCACATCTCTTCCCCTCCTCATTCCCTGCTACTGCATGATTGTCCATGCAGCTTTTGAAGCCATTGATGGTAAAACATGCCCATGAGCAGTTTCACATGATACACTCCTGCAACACTTTAAATCCATAGAGTTCATTAAAAAACCTCCTTTATTAAAGCTCCTGCTCGGTGTTGCACTCACATTTGTAAGTGCTATTTGCAGATAATGGGGATTGTTGAGGGGAATTGCAAGCAGTCTAGCAGCTCTCCTCCTAATTATCACAGTTGTCCATATGTTCATACGCAAGGGGAATTTTTGCAATTCCTTGCTCCCATGCTGTGTGCTCCCATTATATTCTTCTCTCCGGATCTGGTTTCACGAAGCAGAAGCTGCAGGGAAAATCCAATCTGTGTGTCCGTCCTCTGTGGCCAGTGGAGTGGGGACAAGTCGGTGTCCAGGCTGCATTGTCGCCTTCTTGAAGTCTTGTGTTGTGTGTTGTTTCCCTTTTCAGGTCCCTTTCTACAGGGCAACTTTTTAAACAAGGTGATGGATATTGTAGCACAGCATCTTCTCAGGGAGCAGGGTGCTTTGCCCACAGTCCTATTCAAACTGCAAAGCTGCATAGAAACTGTCTCCTAGTTCTTTTGTGTACAAGTAGGTAAAAAGGACGGGTTTTCTTTCCTCTCCTGAAACACTAGACAGTTTCTGACCCTTAAACAGGAACGTTTTGCTGGTAATAAAACAGAAGAATGCCTCCAACCGTTCGTGTGGATGGGAGTGGGAGGAGGTGGGGGCTAGCAGGGAGAGGAATGTGCTTGGAACAGTGTAATAAAGCTTAATTGTATTAGTTTTGAAAAAGGGTTTTGATCTTCTCTGTGGATAATTTTATTCCTGTAATGGTTGGGAAGAAGCAAAACAGAGCACAGAACAATCTTCTTTATTAGCTGTTGCTTTTCTATAATCCTGCCTTTATTTGGTGAATGCACGCAGACCTTGACACTTACTTATTTTCCCTTCCACTCTGCTAAAACCTTCCAACTCGGAGAGAGTTTTATGTATCTCTGTGTGTATTAGAAGCTGTGGGTAAGGGGCTGCGGTGGGGAGCTCTGGAGCAGGAGTTTGCTTTCTCTGCTCTTTTCAGAGGGGATGGTCACTTGGAGTGTGGTCACTGGTAGTTCAGAGGCGTTGGGCTGGGGGTGAGTGATTGATGGCTCAGTGTGGGCCTGGAAAGCTGAAATTTCTCTTCCTAAGGATGAGGCTGTCAGGAATTCCCTCCTCCCCTCCCCTGCTTGTGTCTATATGCTCAGGTTGGCTTTGTCCCTACTTCTGCATGATAACAGAATTCAGCAGTAGGAGACTTAGAGCTTTGGGTTTGAACTGTTGATGTTGAGAGCTGAGTACTCTCCCAATAGGATGCTGAGAACAGTTGTGTTATGTACTCCTCACAACATAGTGGCTGCTGCCTTGAATCCAACACCAAGACTGTCCTGTTGCTTCTGACAATGGTCACTGTTCAAAGACTTGGAGAAGGAAGATGTAGAACAAACCCCTCAGCAAAGCAAACCCCCCAAAAAACTTTGAGAGGAGAACTTAGAGAAGAGCTTCCTGTGTGTTGTCAGCTGGGGGCTGACACACGTCCTGCTGCAGAAGAGTTTATTTTCATTCAGTATTTTTATTCACTGTAATGGAATTTGGATTCCTGCCATCGCTCCTCTCTGTGTCTCAGGCATCTTTCCTGAAGCCTTGTTTAGCTCTTCCTTTCCCACATCACGTGGTAGCCTGTGCCACAGGTTAACTTATCCACTCTGTAAATTCGCTGTCACCAGTTTCAAATACCTTTTTTCCTCCCATTTAATATCCTTTATATGAAACAGATAAAAGGAATCTGTTTCATTATTCATTTTCTGTAGACTTCTGTCCCCTCTTCCACCTTCCATTAAGCAGAGCGGTCCTTACCTTTCAGCCTCTGCTTGTGTGAATGAGTTTGTTCCAGGTTTCTCATTCCACTTGTTTGTCTTCAGGCCCTTTCCCCTCGTGGCTCTGTCTTGGAGATGGATTGGCCAGAATTGACTCGGTTACTTCCCTTGAATGCAGCACATTGTGTGAATACATTATCCTTTTATTTTGTAATCTCTGAAAGAGTGCTGTAATCTACTGGACAGAGCATGGAATTGGAAGCAAAAACCTGCTCATTTTCAAATAGCAACTTCTCTTCTGGGAGTTTGAAACAATTGCTTAGTCCATCTATCTCGGTTATTCCATCTCTATGATGGAATAGCTTATAATGAGAGGGCAAAGTGTTATGAAACAGTAAAGCTATAAAAATGCTAAAAAGGCTTTGCCTTTAGCTTTGCATGAGATGAACTATGGGGGTACCTTATGTCAAATGGAGCTTCAGAAACTCCATTTCTCTGCTGCCTTATTAAGATTTCCACAGGAAAGGGCAGGTATGAAAAAGAATGTCAGTGTTTCAGCTTGTGGGGTTTGCCCTGCATCTCCCTGCTCATGGCAGGGGGTTGGAGCTGGATGATCTTTAAGGTCCCTTCCAACCCAAACCAGTCTGTGATCTACCAAAGCATTGGAAGAAGCAAGATGGTGATTGCTTCAGTGCTTTGTTACTCTGAAGATCCATTTCCTTCAGTGTCCGGGTCCTGACTGTGACCAAAAGTGGATGTCCAGGGATGAGCATCAGATCAGGGCATGTATATGGGATAAATTGCTTGCAGAGGATCAGCACACCGGTGGTGCCCTTGATGTTCATCACTTTGTTCATTGTAGTTGTGTATTTCAGTCTCTTGGGTCCCTTCTATGTTTTTGTTTTCCATCTGTTTTTCCTGTGTAATCAGGAAAATTACAGGGAATAGATCCTTTGAACTGACTGTTCCTTATATGACTGTGTGTAATGGCAGGATCTTGGAGCTGGTGATACAGACATTCCATTCCACACCTGTATTTCCACTGTAACTATCCATGTGTTATCCAGTAAGTAATCCAGTAGTGAGACCTGGGTAATTTGTTGGAAGTGGTTAAACTTCTAACTCTGACTTGTTGGAGTAATTTTGCATCTCATCCGTGTAATTTAGGATTGTTTCACAGAAAGTGGGTCTTGTCTCGACTGTTTTGAAGTGGTTTTATACTGTAGTGTTTGGGTAGACAGAGTGAGAGTTGGACCTAGTAACCTTAGAAAAACTCAATTTGAGCAGCTGAAGTTGGTGTTCTTTCATGCATTTATGTGTTACTGAGAAGCACTGAGGGAAGAAGGGAGATGGAGGGAGCTTGGTGTAAACACTTAACATGTGCACTGCTCAGAACTGGGATTTTTACTATGGATTCCTTGTATGCATCGTCCTGCTTTCTCCAAGTGGTAGAAACATCCTTAAAAAGCACGACCAAGAGATGCAGCCTCTCCTGGAACCCTTCAGATGCCAGCAGGTCTCACTGAGTGTGTCACCTGGGTACTTTCTCCTGAGTAAATACTTGTTGGACTCCTTTTGCTTGGCCTCTGCTGGGTTTAACCTGACCCAGGTTCAGGGCAGTGCCACCCTACAATGGAACGTGGGCAGCCCTTTGGAGTACTCTAGAGGGGCAGAGGAAGCTGAAGGCGGTCTCAGCAGATGAAGTGAAGCTCTTGCTGTAGCTGATGTCTCTCTTCTTTGTTTGGATTCTCCTAAGCTCCAGCTCCCACGTTATCTCGTACGAGGTGGCTGTGGATGACTCTGAGCAGTGGGTACATTAATATGCACCGTTTCTCTGCTTGTAGTTTCTCAGAGCAGTAAGTAGCACCCGAGGTATTCATAAACTGAGAGTATTTATGCAAGAAGGAGAGGAAAGCATTCAACACATACCCTTTTTTTTATTATTAATAAGCCAGACTGCACCTTCTTCTGTGCTGAGCTTCACAAATCTTGTAATTGTGTATGTGCCATTCCTCTTGTTTGGTTTGTTTAAATTAATCTCCTTTTGCCCTTGCACTTACCGTTTAATTCGTGTTTGGAAAGCATTTAGGATGTGTAAAGAATGGGAGGAGAAGTTGTTTCTGTTTGTTGTTCT